CTGCGAGAATTAGGCCTGGATTTCAACTCAATGCTCTTGCAAGGTAATGGCTGCTCCAACCCACCCTTCAAAAGCAGAGAAGCCTTCTGAAGGTCGAAAACTGTGCCTCCTTCTGGCAGCCTTGGGTCACCAGATATTCTCAGGTGGGATGGACAGACTGCTTCCTTCCAAGATACAATACAGAGGCCACACCATCTCGGAATAACAACCTCTGTGGTGTGGGATGTCCCCATCATGGCCCCAAACAAGGGTGCTCCTCCTTCCAGGCCCCAGATCACTGCCTACTGCCCCACTCCTCCTGCCCCTCACTGACTGTTCCCTAGAGGCCACAGGGAACTCTAACGCGGACTCGAACACTGTTCCCTCTTCACTTTGACATGTCCCCATGAAGTCAGTGTTTTCTCTTCACACAGATAAGAAAACTAAGAGAATTCAGTATCAACAAAGGCAAGGAAATGAAACCAGCTTCGATGTCCATCAACGGATGACTAGATAATGAAAATGTGGTAAAATTCAATAGAATTTTACTCAGCTGTAAAGAAAGGCTGAAACTATGAAAAATGGATGGATCTGGAAAGCATTATATTAAATGAGGCAACCCAGACTCAGAAAGATAAAAATGTCATATTTGATCCTAATTTTATTGTTAGTGTACGTAAATAAGAGAATATGAGAGTGGGTATAGACTATAAGATGGCATGGGAGATGAGGCGAGGGAGCAGGGGATGTTAAGGAAGGTGTGTGAGCCTGGTAGCAAAGGAAGGACGGATGCAACATGAAATTGGAAAGGAGTTACTGGGGGCAGCAGTGTAATCAGGGAGAAGGAGGAAGATAAACAGCAAAACCTAATTATTTGTGGTCTCAACAAAACAAAACAAACATATGCTGCCAACGAAAACATACTCGGGCAGGAAGATAGCCCAGGGGGTAAAGGAACTCACCCAGACGGCTTGCTAACCTGATTCAAACTCTGGAATCTTCGTAAGGAACTAACTCAGTCACGTTGTCCCCTGACCTCCACACGTATGCTGTGGCGTGTGCCCCGCCTCCCACATCATGTATACAGTCGAACACATAATAATGAAACTGTAAAATCCATAAGGTGAAAAAAGGAAAGAGAACTAAGGAACAAATCAAGAGGCGGCCAGTCACCAAGGAATCCTAGCTCTGCACTGAGGCTGCCTCCCACGTCTCCCCAGGCTCCTTGCATCCCCCTGCCTCCGCAGGTACTGCAGAGGCACCACCTTTCTGATTGTGGAGCATGGCTGGAGGCGGTCAGCAAGGCTCAAGTGACAGAACTCAAGCACTAAGAACAGGCCCTTTGGTGCTGGAGGGTAGGTGTCTTCCCTTAGGAAGGACTCCAGGGCTCCAGCCTTCTGTGGTTGTGAAGAGAGAAGACAGGGAGGGAATGGTGCTGAGGGGAGGGGCAGGACAGCAGCACGGGCCAGGATCCTGGTGGTCTTGGACTACACTGCAGATGGCACATCCTGAAAACCAAGCAGCATCCCTCCAGAATCCTTGGTCCCTCACCACGGGGCTTATGGACAACACTCAGCATCTTTGGGTTTTGCAAAATGAAGAACCTTCAGTGCCGCCACGGTCCTTTGCTTTCCTGCTCACATACCCTCTCTCTACGGGATGCAACACTAGCTCAATTCTTTCAGCTCCAGTGAAACACTTCCTCCAGGAAGCCTTCTTCACTTACTCTCCATCCTCCCATTGGCTCTGGCAGCCTAGGAGCCAATGCTACGTTCCCTGGCAGTGTCTGCTGCCTTACTCACTAGAACAGAAACCCTTGGAAAGCAGGGTGAGCAGGGTGAGGTCTTTTTTTTTTTTTTTTGGTTTTTCAAGACAGGGTTTCTCTGTAGCTTTGGAGCCTGTTCTGGAACTAGCTCTTGTAGACAAAGCTGGCCTTGAACTCACAATGATTCACCTGCTTCTGCCTCCCAAGACGTGCACAACCACCGCCTGGCTGCAGGGGAACTGCTTTCTCAGTCTTACATGGCTTTGGGGAACTGCTTTCTCAGCTCCTCGGGGACTTCTCAGGGGTGGGGGTGGACTGTGAAGGGCAACACAGCCTGATGTAAAGTGGAGATTCAACAATGTGTCGTGGGGCTGCTCCATCCAAGGGTGGGGGAAGGAGGGGAATTCAGAAAGACAGATTTGTCTGTCTCCTGGCCTCCTTCCACACAAGGTAGACCTTGCCTTCCCTTCCTTTGGTCATTGTCGGCTGGGACATCTAGTGATAATCTCTGCATAGGACCAGTCACAGCTTTGGTGTGCTCTTAGATACCTATCCCCAATCATCCCAACAGCTGCCCCGGACCTCACCTCCACTCTGGTGCCCTGCGGCTCTCTTGGGCTGTTGCTATCCCATCAGCTAGTTCTTGGATGCCTCTGCTCAGAGGTTCCCTCAATGCCTCAAAGCCAGCACATCCCCCACTGTGTTCAGCCATTTCTTTTCAGCAATTCCTGGTCCTTGCAATCTCCTCTCCCTCTTGCCCAAGGTCACTGGCCTGGAAACCCTCTTCTGCTCCCAGAGTGCCTTCTCCACCAGAGGGCTGCTACAGTGTTCTAAGTGTCCTCTCCGTGCCTGAGAAGGAGATGACCTCAGCTTAACCCCTCTCTACTCACAATCTTGCCCAGGGCTCCATCCTATACCTGCAATAAAGTCCTTTGCAGCATAGTGCATCTTCAGGTCAACATGCCCCTCTCTGGGGTCTTATAAGCTTTTGTCCTAACACGTTCTGGGATGTTCCATAGCCTCAAAGCACTAAGCACACTCTATCTGTAGGCTTTCTGTTATCTTTTTGGCCAGGTACACCTCCCTCTACTTATCATATATCTACCTGCCAAATCAAACGTGCCTCAAAAGAACAGTTCAGAAGGTTGAGCCCCCAAACTGGAGGCTTGCATCTTCTCAGGTCCTCATTGCAAACTGAGCTGTCACTCCTGGAGATGGTGCTGCCCTGAGGTTGCTGAGGGATCATGGCTCCCTGCCTGGCCTGATCCACAGGAGCTAGCTAGCTGTTCCCCACCTCTGGGCTCTGCAACCAGGGCCTGGAAACAGCTGGGCCTTGGGGGGGCAGGAGTGGGATTGTGGGTAATAGGTCCTCCTGGTGAGCCTGGCACCTGGCAGTGATTAGCACTTAGTGGTTCTGTGGCAGGTCCTCTGTGCTCAGCCCAGTTAACAGACCACAGAGATGTATGCAGACACGGCCATCCCCACAGGGCGTTTCCTATCCTCAAGCAATTCCTCTGAGAAGCTGGGCTTCGGGGAGGGGGAAAGGGTGATCCGGACATGATGAGATTAGGGCGCTCTTCCCTCAGGTTTTTCCCTGAATGGTTCTGTCCCCAGCCCTTTCGGAAGAAGGATCCCACTGAAAAGGCTGACAGAAGGAAGCTGTGGTGCCAGGCTGGCCGGAGGTAGGAGGAACATCAATCAGGTATTTCCATGGCTGTCACATGCCTCTTCCGGCCAGGGTGACTGCACCCTCCCAGCTCCAGGTATCTCTCTAAGCTAACACCCCACCCCCAGCTCAGTGTTCCCCAGGAGCCAAGATGCAGGCAGCACTTTGGTCCAGTGAAGAAAATTGTTCATTAGACACCAAGGTCTAATTGCCGCCATATTTACCAGCCTCAGTGGTATCTTGATCTTTTTTCAGCTTCTCATTTGGTTTGATAGGAGGGTTCTGGTACGTGATGTCCCTGCCCCTCCTTCTTCCCATAATCCCCTGGCTTTTTCCTGAAGCAGGGCAGTTATCACTGTGCATCAACCTATCTATCTACAATTACGAGGGCAGCCTCAACACAGTCCAGTCGCTGTAGCTGGCCCATAGTAGGTGCTCAACATATATTATATCATGCTGCGCTGGGCTCTGGTCTGGAGGAAAGGGTCAGGCACTGCCCTGCGCAGGTGGGCTTCCAGGTGGGTGGAGGGAACAGGGCCAGGGTAAGAGCTGAGGCAGAGCTTTCTCAGGCTTAGTCACCCTTCTGCATTAGGTACCTGATCTCCATTGCCCAACTCCATGGAGGTCACATCCTAAAAACGCGGTTTTGTTTGTTACTCCTGGGAGGGAGCTTGCGATCACTCTTTCATCTTGCATACTTCCTGGGTTGGGATCCTCACTACCTACCCGTGAGATGTGTTTTAACCGTGCTCAGGAGGCATTTCTCAGGTGGTGAGGAGACCTTCCTCGTGGTTCCTCTACCTCCACAGACTTTCCTTTTATTAGAGACATCCACTTGTGTTGACATGTACATTCCTCCCCCCAATTGAGTCCCCCCACCATCACCCCTGCCCCTGGCTTCCCCTTTAGGAGCTTGCCAGCAGGAAGGAAGCTGCAGGCTGTTCTTCCCGGGAGGTGGGGGTGTCATCCTGATTAAAAACCACTGTTATCTGAGGTTGCACAGAAGTAACGCTGCCCAGGGCTCCAGACTCACAAGCCCAGTGAGCGAGTCCCAGAGATTAGGGGACAGATGACACTTCATTCCCTCTGACCTCCCAGAGTCTAGGCTCCCTAACATATGCGCTCACCTCCTTCTGATTTCTCCTCTCCAGTGCTAAGGTCTGGTTACCTTAGTCACAACGTGAGTACAGGATTGGGGCCTTAACATCTATAGGCTGCGTCGCCTTAGAGATGGAGAGCGCTGTATCTATTCATACAATGCTCTCTGTATAGACGAAACCCGAACGGTAGAACTTCAGGCACCTGAACAAATAGTGCAGGGGACACTTGACCCAAAGGAGAAGAAGTATTTCCTACTCTCTTGTTTGGCTCTTTCCAAACGTATAGCACAAAAACTCTGGACAAACCACTGCCTAATCCGGGTTAAAAGCGCCATAGGGTTAGGAACAGAAGGCAAGCCCCCACGTTTGCAGAATCCCCGGGGTAATTGCTACAGCGACACGAAGGCCCTGGGTAGGTGTCCGATTCATGGTCCAGAGCCCTTCTTCACAAACCGCCTTTCTGGGAAGCGGGCAAGCGAGGGGTACTCACGGGTCGTGTTGTATTTGATGCCATTGAAGTACTCGGGACACGGTCTCTCCACTAGGGCTCCGGGCGTGCTCTGGGGCCAGCAGGTTCCAATCTGGTCCAAGGTCGTGTTGCAGTAGGAGTAGGAACCTAGTGACAGGAGGGAGCGCAGCGGGGCTCAGAGGGATGGCCCAGGAGCTACACGGGGTGCCGGGGTGCCGCTCAGACCCGCTCTAGGAAAGCGCCGGAGAGCTAACCCACGTGTGGCTAGTCCGCTCGCCTCCTGCCTACCCTCGGGGTCCGGGGGCAGCCCCCAGCCGTCAAGGAGCAGCTCTTCGGCCAGCGCCAGGCTGCAGTTGGCCTCCAGCAGGCTGTGAAGCAGCGCCGCGTCCATTGCGCCCCGGAGCCGCGCGCGGAGGGAGTGGGAGTGCGCGCCCCGCGTGGCTGCGAGGGAGCGGGCGCGACGGGGAGCGGCCAGAGAGCGCAGCGTCCCGCTCCCCGCCCGCCTACCCCGGACCAGTCGGGCAGCTCCGGGGCGCCGCAAGCGATCACGCCTAGCCGCGGAGCCAGGACCTTAGCCAAGACCCGTGGGCTCAAGGAGCTGCGGGGCCGCCCGCTAGACCACGGCCAATGGCGGCGTCGGGGGCGGGGCTCTGTCTCCTGCCCCGTCGGACCCGCTGCCCCCAAGTGCTCTCAGCCCAACAAGTCGCGAGAATACTGGCGTGGTTGGCTATCTATTATCTGGGTTGACAGAATATCCCCTCTGAAGATCAAGGGTCGCAGGCTCCGGAGCTGCAGGACACCCACTACAACATCCTATACTCATACCCGGCCCAGTTGGGTGGCACTTGACCAGAATTTTTTTTCTGAAGGACATTTAGAATTGGGTAGAGGGAACCAGTCAGTACAGAAGCAGATTTGAGCCCTCCGATGGAAATGAAATGAAGGTGCCCGGGAGGATAGCAGCAGAGAGGTCACCCGACAGAATCTAATAGAGGTGATCAAACGGATGGAGTAGGTAGGTGGAATTCAGATGGAGCTAGGAACCAGGAACAACATCCGGTTTCACAATGACAGATTTGCCACCAGTAATGAGATGGGGCTATTTTGGAAGAAATTAATGAAAATTATCTGGAAGACTTGAAGGTCTTAGTGTCCTGGGCACCAGATAGAGTAAGTTAGAGGTGAGAAAACGGTCTCTCTTCCTCCTAGGTTATGCAGGGCCATCTGATGAGAGGAGAAAAAGTCGTCAGTCTTCCCCACCAGGTGGGAGGAGTGATCATCCCTGTAGAGAATCTGCTGGGTCCCCCAGCATTGCTTGCCTGGGGATTAGTTGGACCCAACTGCTTCAGAGTGCTCAAGATGGGCCTGTGAAGTAGGCCTAGGTTCTGCATACGTGTGTCTAAATTCTGCTTTGTCTCTCCTCTCCGCCACATTGCTCGAGGCAAGAGTTTTGCCTTTTTAGGTTTTCTCCTTCAGTGGCATGTTCTCTGTGATCCTCCACTGCCCACAGAGTCCGTGGTCTTAGAGGCTCTAGAACCATTCGCAAGCCCCTGCACCCTCCATCGGAAACCAAGTGCCCATGAAGAGCCGGTGCTCCAGGTGGGGGAGGCCAAGAGCAGACTGGTGCCTTCTAGAGTCTTCCTAGCCTCCATATTAATGCTGCTGTCACCCCTAAGCAGGGCAAGTGAGTGTGTGAGAGAGGGACTGAGCAGCGAGACCAGGAGGAGCCCTGGAATCTCTCCAGGACCTGCCAACCGTCAGGGAGACCTACAGAGCTACCCGGTAGATGTATCCTCTGCCTCCTGAATGGACAGTTAGGGCCCTGGCCCAGCTCCTGGCAGAGCCTTAGGTCAGAGCATGACTGGCTGGGTCGGTCCTCCCGGAGATGTAGTCTCCTTCACCAGCAAGGGATGACCCTTCACACAGCATCACAGCACAGCCAAAGAGGAATACTTGGTTCATCACCAGAGCTCGAGGACACATACCTTGTTAAGGAGGTAGCCAGCCCAGCCACATGCTGCTTTACATGTAGATTTCTGCAGAACATGGATTGGCCTAGGTGACCTGCACCACTTTAGAGTTTCCTCGGGGAAGGGACCAGTTCAGTGTCAGGGTCAAAAGTGACCGTGCACCCTAAATGTGTGAACAGCTAAGATCTCTAGATTCCCAGAATTTGGTACCATTTCTTTATAATCTCATATTTCCATCATCCAAGATGTAACATAAGGAGACCAACTGACCTCGCAGCTCACTTTAATGTTGGCAAACGGGTGGACATAGTGTCCTAGGGCTGCCAGCCAGTCCTACCACTGATCCAAGATAGGCATAAGGGGACAAGTATTTAGAAAGTCTGTGTGTCCTTGGCTGGTGGGGTCACGAACATTGGAGAGTCAGTTCGGGGAAGTGCGGCAGGTACCAGAGAGCAGCCTGCAGTGAGGCATGAGACCGCCACCGATACCAGCTATGGTGGTGATAATCACAGCCAAGCCAGCTTAGATACCTCTACTGCGCAGCCTCATACATGCCATCAGATAGGCCTATAGAGTACCACAGAAGCACTCAGCTGTCACAGTCCCGCACTCAGACAAAGTCACACACACTGGCATTTATCCCCCCACCATGCAAATGCCAAGGAGACAACAAGGCTTACAGCGATGGCCATTGCTTCTCTGAGGGACTGTCCTTCATGGGACTGTGCAGACAGGGAGTCTGTTCAGGGGTAGCTAAGGACAAACAATAAGGTCCCCCGTTTCCTCCACAGGGCAGATGAAAAGGACATCTCCAGTTGTGATCATGTCATTTGACTTCCATGGTGGGCTCTGCATACCCTCCCAGGCGGAGTTTGTATCTTTGGCTTGGTAAAGAAGAAGCTTTGTGATCATCCTCCCCTTCCTCATCCCGTTGCTGGCTGAGATACCCTTTGGAAGACCTCTGTACCTCTGTCATGCTGTGCCCACCATTTAGAATGCCTTTCAACTCTGTAGTTCAGTCCAGCCTCTCATCTTCCTGCAAGCATGCATCTGCGCTCCCACCTCTCCTGTCCCTACTACTCAAGATGCTTCCCTGATACTTCTGTGTGTAGGTCTCACTAAAGCTCTACCAACCTAAGACTCCATGGTTTCCCCAGAGTCACCAGCACCCATCAAAATGTTCTAGGGATAGTAGCCATTGCATGGGAAAAAAAAAATAGAAACCAAGTTCCTTGACCTTGGGGCTAGGGAAAACCTATGGTTCTGTCTCCCTGACCAGACTTTCTCCTCCCTTGACTAACACTAGTATTTCTATCTGTGCACACATGAGTGTGTGTGCATGCACCTTGGACTGGAAAATTACCTCAAAGATTCCTTAGATGCCTTTGGACCCTTATATTTTCTTTTTTTAAAAGATTTATTTATTTATTATGCATACAACATTCTGTCTCCATGTATGCCCACACACCAGAAGAGAGCGCCAGATCTCATTACAGATGGTTGTGAGCCACCATGTGGTTGCTGGGAATTGAACTCAGGACCTCTGGGAGAGCAGCCAGTGCTCTTAACCTCTGAGCCATATCTCCAGCCCCATGAGCCATCTCTCCAGCTCCCCTTATATTTTCTATGAATAGAAAAATAATATGCCTCCCAATAATGCCCTAGCATTTTCAACTATATGTAAATGCATCTGTGGTGAGTAAAATAGAAATATTTTATTAAAAGCAGCTTGCTGGAAGTTATAATTGCCCCCCTGACTGTGTGTATTTTTTCATTTATTTGGGCCACAGAGGCATACAGCCCAACTGGTCATAGTCTTTGATTCACGGCCTCTGATCATCATCAGCCCACACATGGCCTAACTTTATTTTACGGTCTTTTCTCTTATGGAGGTTTGTGTATAGCAGTAATCACAATGAGCTGGCCGCCCAGTCTGGAGCAGATATTAGCAGTCATTCCCATATTTATCTATGCCTGCCTTCCCGGAGGGAGCATTCTCTTGAATGCGGCATTTGTCACTCCTGGCTCTTCCTATTGTCAGTTCTTTACATGGAAGAGTCTCGGAACAATCGTGAGTGTGGTTTTGCTTGGTTGCACACGTTTTAGTCATTGTACACTCTCCTAACTAGTGGGAGCAAGATAAGAGGCACTCGCAGGTGAGGAGCAGAGAAGCAATTACTGCGGCCCGCAGACATCCTAACAGTTCCCAAGTCTACCCCAGGGCCGTGGCTAATGAGGAATGATGTGTCCCCACAGTGGCTGCTAGGCAGTATCACAGCGATGTGCTGGATGAATATTTAATGACACAGGAAACATCCACTCTCCATTATTAGAGAAAAAACAGGTTAGACAGCTATGGACACAATCACAGATCATTTCTGGTAAAAAAAAAAATACAAAATGAAAAAATCCCCAAATCCCAAACAGCAACATGAGACTCTGTGGACGATAAACTCCTAAAGGACACAAAACACTGTCAAAATTGTTGGGCAGTAAGAGAATGTGTTCTGATCTTATGAGTCAAAGAGATTTGCCACCAAACTTTTGCGTAAATAGCATGGGTGCCTTTGGTCAACAGAAGGAGGCCTTAAAAATTAGGCAGAGGGGGTTGGCGTCAAAAAGGAGAACCTTCTCCCTGAGCGCAGGCTGGGGTGGGGCATCTGTGCTACCTTTTCAAACAGAGAGATGGGTGAGGAGGGCAGGGAGAGGCCAGAGTGTCTTTGAACAGCAGTTCTGCTTCAGTTGACACAGTGCAAGAACAAATGGCCCTCCTGAAGTAAGCGACCTCTGCCCCTCGCTATGTCTGCTAGGCACGGCCCATGTTGTATGTCCCCACTGCCAAAGTGTGCCTCGTACACAGAATGAAATCTTATTGCTAATAGGTGAAGAAATAGAGGCATAGACTGAGAGGTACCCCTCCAAATTCACATGCTGAAATCCAAAGTCCCAGGACCCCAAAATGTGGCCTTAATTGGGTCTGGGGTCTTTACAGAGGTGATTCAAATAACATGAATGCAATTTGGCCAGTAGATCCAGTCCAATATGTTGAGTGGCCTTCTGAGAAGAGGAGGTGGGACAGAGTCTCAGAGGGAAGACCCTGTGAGGACAGGAAAGGTCTGCAAACCAGAGAGAGAGGCCTCAGGATAACCAACCCATGCCAACGCTTGGCCAGGTCCTTCCAGACTCCAGAACAGGGAGAAAATGAGTCGGAACCCATCAAGCTGCCCAGTATAGTGCTTTATCACAGCGGTCAAGGAAACTCTATAGACAGGTGATCGTCCCAAAGTCCCATAGCTGCTAGATGGAGGAGCTGGGACAAGGGTGGCCTGTGACTGATTCTGAAGAGCCCCACAGCAGAGGTGTAAGTGGTAGGGTTTAACTCTTTTGATGCCTGCCTCGGGTTCTATTTGGATGTCCAGGGCTGGCTAGCACTCCTGTCCACTTGAGCCCTGACAGAGACTCTGAGCCACAGAGCGCCATCACCCTACCAGCCCTGGCTGTCCTGAAAAAAACACTCTGTAGACCAGACTGGCCTCGAACTCACAGAGATCTGCCTGCCTCTGCCTCCCAAGTGCTGGGATTAAAGGCTTGT